CCGTGTATGTTTCCAAATATAAATATATGTATGTTTCCAAATATAAATATATGATGCAAAAATATCTCAATAACAGGGTTTATTTGTCATGTTTTTTATCGTTAGACACTTGGGGTATCTATTGAATAATATCAAAATGATAAGTTAAGGACAAATAGTGCAATCTAACCCCCCCCATTAATACCCGTTTAGTGAGTTAAATTTGTAGAACTGAGAACTTAAACATATTACCTTTAAGCATATTATGTTATCTTAAATGGTTCTATTTTCTTCTATTTCCAAAAGCAGAGGCTGATATATGTGAATTAATTTAATCTCACATAGCAACTTGTTCTCAGACCACTGGGTTCACTAAGCTAATGTAAATATAGAGTTAAAACTATACAATAAAACATACTTAAATGAGTTTCATAAGTCTGGTAGGCATACTGCTGTAACAAAACTAAACAGCGACAGAAACTGGAAAAAAAAAGAGGTATAAGTAAAATATTTAAAACCAAAAGAAATATGCTTTCAAACTTAGGAAATTAATTATGTGAAAAGTTTAACCTCTTGAATTCCCTGCCTAAAAATAAAGATAGAGTGTACAGCACTGTCTGTCCAATCTCCTAACATCCATTCATTTATTCAGTAAATATTTTGAGCACCAAACTAAGGTCATATTCTATTTTAGACAAAGAAAGTATAAAAAAAGACAGGTCGAGCCATTTAAAACTTACACTCTATGGGAGAGTGCAACAAAGTAAAGATTTAAACAAATTTAATCTAAAAATAAGGTGAAAGTAGATGGCAATTACTGCTATGAAATAAAACAAGATAATGACATATAGAATAAATATAGGCTGAGAAGCAGAGGGGTGTTAGCTTGAATGGGTAAGGAAATGTCTTTGGAGTGATAAATGATGAGAAAGACTATCTTAATCTTAGTCCATTTGGGCTGTGGGAACAGAGAATCATATGCTAAGCGACTTATAAACAACAGAAATTTATTCCTCATAGTTCCAGAGGCTAACAGACCCAGATCAAGACATTGGCAGGTGTCTGCTAAGAGTCTGCTCTTCTAGCTGTATCCTCACATGAAGAAAGGGGCCAGTGAGCTCTCTCTAGTCTCCTTATAAGGCACTAATCCCATTCATAAAGGTGGAGTCTTCGGTATCTGTTACATCCCAAAATGCTCTCCCTTCAAATACACATTACGTTGGGGATGACTTT